GTAATATTTCCCTGTAAGGAAGTACTTTTTCAAGAAAATCATCTGAAGACATATGATGAAATCTAATTAAAGGGATAAATCTATGAAGAGTTCTTTCCATAATTGTAGTTTCTTCATTTCTCCATTCTTTATAGTCTACAGAAATAGAAGGGTTCTGAGCAATGCCCCACTTAATTAAACTATCCCAAATATCAATTTCTTTCAGACTTAAATCATCCCGTTTTAAAAGGAATTCTAATAAAGGTACTTTTATATTGATAAATTTATCAGAATTAAAAAGCTCCTTGGGGTCTTCACAAATTTTTTCAAAATAAAAATTTCGTAATTTTGTGAAATTCTCATGTTGATAAATTGTTTCAAGTATTCTTATAGGATTTTTTTGTAAAAACTCATGATGGTCTTTAATTAAATAATCTTCAATTTCGGGAACTAATGATTGAAGATTAAGTGCACCTGTCGCTTTTAAGAGATCAAATATTTCAATTCCTTCTAATTTCGTCATGTCAATCCTTCCGCAATATATAAATCTGAAATTTAAAGGGATATTAGTAACTTGGTATATATTATTGTCGTAGTTGACGACTTTATTTACCTTAAGATAATTTTAAGAAGATTTGGAGAAATGTTGGGTAATTTTAAAATAAATTTTCCTGCCTTCTTCTCAACATTTTCTTTAGTTAATTCATCATAAAAATATTGCGACCTGAAACGTAAAATATTTGAAAGTGCATGTAGTTCTTTACCGTTTTCATTTTCACCGGCATAAATAATGACATCATAACTTTTGTCATATTCAAATAACTTTTCATAATCATCAGCAATTCCTTGCAAACATTCGATAGACATTTTTTACATAAAGTTTACAGAAAGTTAAAATTTGAAAAAAAAAAATTCATTAAGAAAATTAAATTCATGCATGATAGTAGTGTTACACCACGTTTTTGTTTCCATTTAGTGCGACGTTGTTACATGAATCTTTTCTTGTCATATGAAAATTTCAAATGTAGTTTCGAGTACAATGCCATAAATGACTAATTTAAAATATGTTTAACCGAGAATTTAGAACAAAAATTATAATTTTTTTTTTTTTAGATAAAACCATCACAAAAAATCCGCAGTTAATTTTTTTTTTTTTTTTATCGAGAATGCATCATATTTCAAGAACTGGACTCATCATTTATTTTTTATGTAAACGCTTTTAATTCATATATACAAGTTCAGTGAATATTTTTTTTTTTTTTAGACGCTTAGAAAGTATATAGATAAGAGAAATCTAAAAAAACTAATAAAAATTTCTTTATCCATAGACGAACACAGCAATTTTGAAAGGTTCTTAAGTATGTCTATTGCTGATAATTAGTAAGCTAGCATCAATGAGTGTTGGACATTTACATAGCTAATCGATCCGACGTAATTAATTAATACTGAAATAATTTAGTATTACTTTATTTTTGGCCTTTTAAAAAATTCCAATATATGCATAATTTTCGTGGTGCAACACTATTAGTCAATTTGTACGCCTTTATTTTAAAAAAAAGAAGAAAATTATTATGAAGGCGATTTCGCTTCACTAGAGGGAACGTATTTTTGTCCTTATTCAAGAAGGATTACCAAGTCGTACAATTGCTCGCAATCTATGCTAGAGGTTGGATGTATTTTTAACCGGTTAAGAAATTTTGGCCGGTTCCAACCTCTAATCCATGCTTTTGTAATAAACAAAAAAAAAAAAAAATTAAAAAATTAAAACGAACAGCTTTGTGTCATACCAAAAACAGGCCGTCAAGAATATTTATAAAGCGTCATGATAGGAATATGCCAAGTTTATTTAATTGTGTAAAGTTTCAAATGCTATTCAAATCCTAAATTCTAATAAAAATATTATTTTTTATGATTCGGCGTACTTAAAATAACAAGGTTTTGTAGATAATGTTAAAAAGAAATAACTGATGCTCTTAAAGAGACTTAGAATTGCTCGAAAAATCTTGTCTCAAAAGTATTATAAAAGCTGGCTAAATTTGTGGTGTGGTCATATGATAGTAAATTCTTGATAATAATGGCTCAAATGAGGTAGAGAATAAAGTTGGAATCATCCAATTTATCTTTGCAACTACAATATATTAAACAAACTGTTGAGAATCTTTAATGATATGGGTAAAATTGCATGGAGAGTTACTGTATGTAGAGAAATGATTGAAGAAGATGTGACTTCTGTTTAAAGATAATCGATACAATGCACTAAGAGTTAAGGACGTACTTAAAAATAATTATATTTTATATATTTTGATTTTTTTTAATAAAGTATTATAACATGAAAATTTTGGTTATTAAAGATTTTTATTTTTTAAAAATTATAATAAATAAAATAAAAATTTAAATTCGAGTATATTATAAAGGAAGACTCGGGCTTTATGATAATTAAATTTGCATGTTGTTCGACCATTGAATTATAATATAATAAAATTTAATAAATTTAGAACGTATTTGTACAAAAATTATGGAAGTCACTGTATGTAAGCGAATTCGGATGATAATATCTGATTTATTTGCCATTTAATCAATGAAATTAATTTACGAGTTTCTGAGGGGAACCATCTGAAATCTCTGAATGCGAGTTAAGATAGAAAACTACAGTCCTGCCTGAAATGATGAATTTTCACCGAATTTTCATGATATACAGTAACTGTTACGGCTAATATGTCTTCCACTTTGGGCAAAAATACTTTTGCTCCATTATCCGCATAAACGCTTTAAAGTGAAACTTTCTGCGCCATTATATGAGAAGTCATCCCATTGAAAAATGTAAATTACCGATTAAAACAGAGATTTTTTTTTTTTTGCTGTGCGTAAACATTAAATATGATTACCAAGACACAGACATAATTTTACGGAAATCTTGCCTCATTTGTATCAAATGACATCTTTTAACCACAAATCTTTTAGTTATTTTATTTATTTTAGTTTTAATGATTTAAGTAGAAAGTTAATTTTGTAAAGTATTAATATTGATTTTATATTTAATCCTTTTTATACGAGTGGCGCAGCCCGGATTCTAAAATCAGAAGGAACCGATGTAAATACAATTTATAGGATAAATTTTCACCAAAAGTACACTTATATTTTAATTTCACCAGCCAGAAAAGACCACTTTAAAGAAAAAAAAAAATATTATAAAATTAAAAATTAGAAAATGCGGTTTCGAAAATAAAAAAAAAAAAAAAAAAAAATTGAAATTTAAATAGAACTGATCTTTAAATTTAATTTTCAGGTTTTTCAGATATTATGATTATAGTTGACGCACGTGAATGACCAATCATTTCTCAAACGCTGGTCAAACGCAATTAACTTTTTTTTTTTATTTTATTTATCTTATTTTATTTTATTTTATTTTTTTAACAAAAATAGTCGATTAAGAAATCATGTAAAATTGAAGTTACGTTACTAAATATTGTAAATGAGGCTGACTTTTTTTATTTTTGTAGGGATTCGGGCTTATATTCAAAAACAAGAAAAAAACGATTTTTATACAACTTGGGAATTATAACGATTTGTAGGATAGTAGCATCATCATTATACTTCCTAGATATTCTAATACTATTGTACATAAATTTTGAAAAAGAACGAACTCCTGCTATATATATTGATATTAATAAAAACTAATATATCAAATAAAATAAACATATTTCGATATAAAAATATCAATCTTGTTTAATATGCAATGCATAATTTCCAGTTTATTTAACTTCTCCGAACCAATTATGACTCGGCCAGTCACATTTCTATCATCACCTTTATGTATTACGTAGTAGTAACTTTTATATAGAAATAATTTCGTTGTCTTTAAATGGTCATTAGGAGGTGTCATTCGGGTAGTCCGAAGTGTTCCATTTAGAATATCCCAATTGACGATATACATATATTTATTATGAACAGTATTGTACTTACTTGAACAATAAATACATGGAGTCAGTGTGAGTATTAAGAGAATTCTTTACAAGCGTAATTACTATACATGGATGCTGAAAAATTTAAAAGTATACGACAAAACCCGCCAATTAAAATTTGGAGTAAAAAAAAATGTGACGTAGCTTAATACTAAATTTTACTCGTTGGATTACGTATAGGGATACTAATGGTCATGGTCATGACTGGTCATAACCGTGACCGATATCGGTCGGTCATAGGCCTTTGACCGACCGTTGACCGACCGTTGACCACGACCGACCGTTACCATCCCTAATTACGTAAGATGGTGTAAAAATTTTTTTCATGTTGATATTTTTTTTTCTCTTATTTGGAAAATCAAGCCGATTCCAAATAAAGTTAAGCAACGTTTATTGTATCGTAATTAAAATTATTAGAATCAATTTTTGACTTCTTAAAATCTTTAATTTAATATAATCCATTTGAATTTTTAAAAAAAAAAGTCGTAAAGATTATAAAGTTTCTTTGAATAAGATGGCACAATCGTTCTTTAAATAAAAGGCTAAACCCCGAAAAAAAAAAATTCCAATCGCTACAGCTTAAATGAATAAATCTGAAAAGAAAAAGAAAAATTAAGAATTAAAAGATAAAAATAAAGCGAAAATTAGATTAATTTTTTCATCAAATGCAATTAAATTATTTGAGTTTTTATTAAAAGTTAAATTATTATACAAAAAACATTTTAACAAAAAGAATCAAGGGAAAGACTTCTTCTAGATAGTTAAAGAAAAGAAGATTATAAAATAAATTATAAATAATAAACTATTTTATAACCGATGTGAAAAAAAAATCATTCGTTGAAATTTCTTTTTCTTATCCATTTATAAGGTTCAAAAAACCTGCGGATTTTCTAGGATCTAACCTTTATGAACAACAAATCAGGTTTTAAATTGGTCATATGGGAGTCACAAATTCCATATTAATCCATTCTAAATAAATACTCATAAATTTGACTTTTTCTTGATTACATCGTATGGGTCCTATATCCTTCTGTATATTTGAATGTTATATTTATTATAATGTCGAATGGAAATGCTGGTATATATACATAAAAAAAACTTTTTTATTCATTGAATACGGAAATTCACAATTTTAAAAATTTTCTCTTGTTAAATTTAGTTGGAATCGATTTGGGTTCGACATATTCCTGCGTTGGAGTTTGGAAAAACGATCGAATTGAAATTATTACTAATGACCAGGGTCTTCGTACGACACCTTCGTATGTCGCTTTCACCGAAACAGAACGCCTTATCGGTGATGCTGCCAAAAATCAAGTTAATATGAACCCTTATAATACTATATTTAATGTTAAACGTCTCATTGGACGTAATTTTAACGATGAAGTTATTCAATCCGATATTAAGGTAAAAATTATATCATCAATGATACGAATTTAATCTACAATGCATTTAATGCATTTATAATTATCTTTTTTTATAAGCATTGGCCATTTAAAATCATCGAAAAGAATGGAAAGCCATATATCCAAGTCAGATTCAAAGGCGAAAAGAAAGATTTCACGCCCGAAGAAATTTCTTCTATGATCTTGGTAAAGTTAAAGGAAATTGCAGAAGCTTACCTTGGTACAAAAGTCAATAATGCCGTAATTACTTCACCTGCTTTCTTTAATGATTCTCAACGTCAAGCAATAAAAGATGCTGGTGAAATCGCTGGTTTGAAGGTATTGCGCATAATTAATGAAGCAACCGCGGCGGCTATTGCTTACGGTTTGAATACAAAAGCTTGTGGTGAACGAAACGTTCTTATCTATGATTTAGGTGGTGGTTCTTTTGATGTTTCACTCCTAACTATAGAGGAAGGAATTTTTGAAGTAAAAGCCGTTGCTGGTGACACACATCTTGGCGGTGAAGATTTCGACAATCGACTTGTAAATCATTTCGTACTAGAATTCAACCGAAAATTTAAGGAAGATCTTACAACGAATGCACGTGCTTTCCGTCGATTAAGGACAGCTTGTGAACGTGCAAAGCGTGAACTTTCATCATCATTAAAATCTTCCATAGAAATAGATTCCCTTTTCAAAGGTATCGATTTTTATACCTCCTTAACGCGTGCGAAATTTGAAGTATTGAATCAAGACTTGTTTCAATCTACAATGGAAAATGTTGAAAAAGTACTTCGAGATTCCAAATTAGACAAAAGTCAAATTCATGAAATTATTCTAGTTGGTGGTTCAACACGTATTCCTAAAATTCAAAAGTTGGTATCTGAGTTCTTCAATTATAAAGAACCAAACAAATCTGTTAATCCTGATGAAGCCATGGCCTATGGTGCCGCCATTCAGGCTGCTATTTTATCTGGTGATACTTCTGAAAAGACTCAAGATTTACTTTTACTCGATATCGCTGCTTTATCTCTGGGTATTGAAACTACTGGCGGTATCATGAAACCACTTATTAAACGCAATACTACAGTACCTATTAAGAAATCCGAAATTATTTCAACAGATTTTGACAATCAATCGGAAATGCTTATTCGAATTTATGAAGGTGAACGTGCCTGCACCAAGGATAACAATTTGCTTGGAGAATTCAAATTGTCTGAAATTCATCCAGCACCAAAGGGTATTCCAAAAATCGAAGTTACCTTTGATATAGAAGCAGATGGTATCTTAAACGCATGTATTGGATATTCATTAATTATACTTGTTGTCATTTCATAATATAGTATTAACTTAATTTGGTTGTAGGTATCCGCTGTTGATAAAAGAACTGGAAGATCGAAGAAAATGACCATCACGAATGACAAAGGTCGATTGTCAAAGGAAGAAATCGAACGTATGGGCATGTAATCATATTCCACAATTTTGCGATGAAATTTTTATGTAAAAGTCTTTTATTAACAAAACTATGTAATAATAGTTGCCGAAGCCGAAAAATATCGTGAAGACGATGAGAAAATTGCACAAGATATACATGCACGAAATCTTTTGGAAAGTTATGCATATAACTTACGTAACATACTTCATGTAAGCGTTTGTTTAATATTTATTTTACATCAATACTCCGAATTAATATCTTCCTGAACAATAGAGCGAACAAGTTGCTGGTAATCTTGACCTAGCAAGCAAGGTGAAACTTGAAGATGCAATTCAAAAATCGATTACATGGCTTGAAAATAACCCAGCCGCAATGAGGGGAGAATATGATTATAAACAAAGATCACTCAAAAAGTTAGCTGACTCAATAATAATGAAAATTTGTGGCACAGGCGCCAGTTTTGGTCCCGGTGGCTTTCCAGTGTAAGTATAGCGATAGTCAGATTGAAAAAAGAGAAAATAGTATATCGTTTTAAATATTTTTGATTAATAAGCAACATTGTTTATTTATGAGTTTTTCTTATTAAAGATCTCGTAAAATAACCTAATCTTTATTTGGTATTTCACATTGGCTGTAAATTTATTTATAAAATTGTCAAAAGTTGAAAAACTAAAATAATTCATTTCTGTAAAAACGTTTCATTGATCTGATGATGCATACTTCTAATTGAATTTACATATAAGAATTAATTAAACTTAAGTATTATCAGGCTGCGTTTAAAAAATTTCTATTATTTTAAAAGATAGCAAATTCATATCATTAACTAAAAGTTACGTATATAGCTTATATAGTCGAATTAGCTTGATATAACTATATAAACCATCGTGTTGGATAAATTGATAAATTGAGAAATTTACTGATAGATGATGATTTATCACTTTAAATATATTAAGATGCTACCTTTCAACGGTTTTCATTGACAGCTTTGTAATCTAAGATTTATTGAGTTAGAAAAATTTAAAAAAAATTTCAATTTTTAAAAAACTTTGTCAATTTTTCAAAAGACACACGCATCTTAAGGATCGATGACTATGAAATTATTCATTTTCTAATTATTAAAAACTTCTTGCGGTATTAATTATATATAGTAAGTCGAAATTATATTGTTTAGATCATCAAAGACTTTTCATGACATGTATATATGAGTTGAATGATGTGATCATTTCTTCATCCAATTATTTACTTAATAGCCTATTAAAGTTCAGCAGCTGATTTAATTAAAAGTTAGATGTTACGTTAAATAAGTCATAACATAATAATAGATCTTAAAGAAGATATAGATTCATCAAATAATACTAGGTGATCAAAAAACAATTAAAAATTATAATTTGATAAAAAGTCCCTATTTGTTAATTTATTGAATAAAAAGTATAAAAAGTTGAATCGGACTTTTCAAAACTTTTTTGGCGTTCTATATTGATTTTTTTTTTTTTTTTAAGAAAATAGTTTGAAATAACTTTTTTTTTTTTTTTTTTTTTTTTATAAAACTAAAAATTAAATAAAGAAATAATATCTATTATTTTTCACATTATATTCATCAATTATAGAAATTTGGGATTCGGATTTGGGTCTAGGAATAGGTGGGATGCGTCTAAATGGTTGCATCAAAAAAAAATTCGCAGTTTTCGTTTATATGAAGTTGGTGAACCTCCTTTTGCTGGACTTCCCCTGCGTCCCCATCAAAAATGGCCGGAATTCGTCCGGAATTAATTGTAGCGCACATGTTGACGAATAGTAGATTTTCATTACCGAAAATTTCAAGTCCCAGAATACTTAAATAAACGAAACACATGAATTTTTGTGTCACTGCCTGTTGCTCCTAATGCGGCAAGAATAAAATTATGTTTTTTTTTGCATTTATTATGATAAGGAATTTCAAAACTAAATTTAAATGTAGCTTGCATATTAGACATACCATATCAAAGCTCCACCTTGTATATGGCATTCTCAATTGTTTACGATTTCTAATCGTTTCAATCATAGAAATCCACTTAAGCATGAATTCGAAAATCGGTTATATGCAGTTGAACTTGATATCGTCAAATATGCCGTTTCGGAATGAATACTGTACGGCTGGATGACGTTACTGATTCTTGTGAGTTCTTGAATGTATCACCTCCCAACCGGTGGATCCTAATTGAAGATGGCTCTACACTTATTCTTTCATCTCGACTGGTACAGTTTCTTCTCATATGATGGCGAATCTTCTTTTTCTGCAGTAAAAAAAAAAAATAAAAAATTTATGAAATGGTTATTTTTTTTGCAGGAATTTTGTTTCGAAGTTTTGGAACCAAATATAACTCCTTTCTAGCAATTATTCTATCCCTTTCTAATTTCTAATTCTGTAAAGCCATTATTACAGTGTGATTGCTGACTCCGCCACGACATCTTTACCTTTTATAGCTTATCTTGTTAGTTCTTTAGGCATTTCTTTCGCTAAACTGGAGTTGCTTCTGCTAAATGCTCATTCTTTTTTTTTGGATCCATCTCTCCACTGGTGTGAAAATAGTTTTGTCAAATTAGAATGCTTGCATAAAATAAAATTTTTATTTAGCGTTTGAAATTTAAAAATTAAAAACTTTGCTTACCTTTTACGAAAGCTCCTTCGATTTTGTAGACTGAGGAGTGTGTCATCATAACTCTCTCATCAGTTGATTTTGTTAACGGTTGCGACTATTGGTGTCGATATGAGCCATTATTTGTCAACAACTGATTTTTTTTCTAGTTTTTCTTATAGTTTTATTCAGTTTTATAAGGAGAGGAATTTTGACTAAATGTCTAAAAGTGAAAGATGCGTAATCTAACAAATATAAGTTTGACGTTATTTTGAAAAAAAAAGATGAAACCTCTAGAGATAAAAAGTAAACCTTCTTTCTTCTCAATACGTTCCCTGGGTGAACATTCAACTTCCTTTGCCATATTCGATGGGTTCAGACTTCGATGCCTGTCGAAACGGGTTTTGCCCGGCAACCTTATTCACAGCCTCATCTACGTTAGTCTCGCTGATAATCATAGATTCTCTAATGTTAAGATCGGGACTGCCATATTTGCTTGATGAAATTCCTTGCTATAAGCATAAATCCGCCTTAAAATAAAAATTTTTAAGGATAAACGAATTGGTAAACTTTTCGTAAACGCCAAGAAGTATGGAACCTGCGAAGGAAAGAACAGAAAAAGAAATATTTTATTTTATAGTTTTATAATATTTCAGAATAACTGGAATTCTATTTCATCTGAAAAATAAATTCTTATGCCTAATAAAGATGACGAAAAAGAATTTTTTTACCTTTACAGTTTAGTTCACGAAGCTGTATTCCGCACAATAATCTTTTGAGATTTATGATAAATATCTGGAAACAAAAAAATGGTTTAGTATAGGCGCCTTCTACTAAGCGAGTATATGTTATGTAACAACCACGAATCTTGAGGGTTTCACCCTTCAATTGTAGCTTCATACATAGTGACAAAGTCTGGACGGAAACGCGCAGGTTAAGGTATACATCCTCCTTCGTAGTTATAATAAATTATCTACATGCCAAACCGTCCTCCAGGCATATTGTCTCTGGCCAATTTGTCTTTACAAAAATTTAGTATATAATCGGTTATTTTCAGGGAATTATTTTTTTTATGTACTGTATATACACAACTAATTACTTTCTTTTTTTCTTTATTGGATTTTTTTTATTATAAAGTTGCAATTTATCCTAGACTCCGGGTTTAGGTTATTATCCTAGACCCCATGTATTAAATGAATTTTTTTTAAGTACTTATCACGTGACGTTCTTTCTAAAATCTGACTTATATAAACACGTGATTTACAAATATAAATAAATTTTATCAATATTAATTACAACGCCAAATTTTTTTTTCTCAAAGTAAAATATGGGACGTAAAAATGCCAAAACCCCTCAACTCGGTCGTACCGTGAAAAGATTTCATCGTCAAACGATGAAAAAATATTTAAGGGATTTCAAAAATGGTGGTGAGTTTTACAAAATTATTAACCAAGTTTTATTAAATTTAGTCACCGAAGCAAAACATCGCGAAGAGCTTGAGAAAGAAGAGCAAAGGATCATTTCACGAAATGAATTGGGTAGTTACGTATTTAACTTACGTAACAAACTTGATGTAAATGTAAGTTCTATTTGACATTTGAATTATGATACTGTATATAGATATTCTAAATTTGGATATCCCTATTTGATAGAAACTATATATTCCTAACCGACTCAACGATGCAATTCAAGAAACTATTGCATGGCTTGTAAGTAACCAAGAGGCGAGTAAGGAGGAATATGAAAATAAACAAGGAACGCTCAAAGAAATAGCCAACCCAATCACGAGAATATTTTTTGGTGAAACAGACGTCAGTGGGAGTCGAAGTAAGTTGATTATTGGCTATGTTTATTGGGTCTCTGTTATTAATTCTTACTATAATTTTTTCATTTACTGTAGGAGGGGATGCAGGGTGAAAAATTTTGGCGTTGAATTTGCAGGGCTTTACATTCATTAAATTATTTAATTTTTATTTAATTATTGTTAATTTATATTTTTTTTTATAAGGTGGTCTAAACGTTGGCTGTGGAATGAAAATACTTTTCTGCCACGCTTTTTTCCTTTTTTGTTTTTTTAACCTTTTTTCATAATTGGATTGATATATTGTTATAAAAATTTAATAATGCTTTCGAAATACTATATTTCGTTCTTATAATAAAAAAAAATCATTTTCTTGATATTGGAGAATTTATATTTAGTTAAATTTGTTTATTTTTAGCTTACTTGCAATAATCCTTTATAATTTGTTTATTTTATATTAAATATGCAATTATCAAAGCAATTTCTTGAATTCTTTTAATATAACTATTTGATTAATTTTACCTGAAATGAAATACATATACGAATAATTAATTTTTAATGAATTGACATGCTTAAATTTCAACGCTTTCAAGTTAGATGCTCAAAATTTAATTGTTAGCTATCTCATAAGACAAACTAAGGTCTTGTTAGCATTATATAAATACGTAGCTAAAAAAAAAAAATAGAAATGAAAAAGGATTTTTGAGCGATCTACCCAAATCGTTAACCTTGAATTAATGGTATGTGAATTAATTATTATTAGATACAATTCGATTTGAATAAGTAATTCCAAATTTTATTTTTTTTGTTATGTAATATAAATAAGGAACAGGCTATTCATAAAGTAAAGTCTTCTTTGTTATAAAAAAAAATGTTAATAAAATATAATAAATTGAATTCAAGGAATCATATTTTCAAAATGACAAAAAAATATTTTTCGCAAATATTAACAATATCAAAAAATAACAAATAAATTATGCCAAATTGGAAATTTGGAATCCGTGCCATAGCGTAATATTGGCTGGTTCTTGTTTCTTCCTAGTAAAGAACATTAAAGCTTTGATCGTTAAAGAACTTGTATTTTGACGTTTAAAAATTTTGTTCCAACTTTACTTATTAGGAAATTATACCTATTTAAATCTGGATCAGTGGCTTACATATAAACACGTGAATTACACAAAGTATTTGTTTACATATAATATTACTTGGTAAAATAAAATCATAAATTTTTTTTCTCAAAATAAGTAAAAATGGGTCGTAAAAACGCTAAAAAAAATCTTAAATCTCGTACATTAAAAAGTTTTTCTAAACAAAAAATAAGAAAAAAATTAAGAGATTTATGTGGTGCGTGTACAAAATTTTTATTATGCATTATTATTAATCTTTACTAACAAAATCTATGTAATATTAGCCGCTGAAGCCGAAAATCGCGAAAAGGCTGAAAAAGAAGCACAAGGAAAAGATATACCTGAAAAAGAAATACCTGCTGTAAGTTTTATTTGACATAAAATCTAGTGGTTATAATATAAAACTACTTACATGACTACCATCTTTGAGGATGAAAGAAATTTAAATTATGATATATCGATATTCTAATCCAAATTATTTCTATTCGCTAGGACGAAAAATCAAATTATATCAATTAACATAAAAGGGGTTCTTAAATAAACTCTAGCAATTAAAAATCTTAAAATAAATGTTTTAATATTTGACATTTTCTTTCCTTTTTTAACCTTAAGAAAAAAATTCTTCAAATAAATTTGATATTTTTCGTTCAAAATATATTCTGCAATTATAATAATCTTATTATTTATTTAATTTTTCATTTTCATATTAATATTATATTTATTTTGGAATTGGTTTTATTTAAGTATCATAGCACTGTTATTATATTCCTAATCTCTTGACCAATTAATAATTATTCCTTATGTAATTAAGTATTCGATACATCTTCGACAAGACCTTTACAACATATACTGTTGCTATTGCAGAATAAATGACTTGTCAAGAACCAATGGGTCAAATATTGATTTTAAAATGCAAGCATGAATATTATTGAATGATTTAAAATAATTAAAACCAATATGTCCTACAGAGGGCCGCCAAAAGTCTCCGAACACCACTTTTTAGAAGCGATTCAATATCGGCAATTTCATGTAACTTAGCAATACTGCGGTCATATGACGTTTCGAACCTTGTTTACATGAATCGGACTTTAAAATGCATTTCCAAATGGTGATGGTAGTAGTTTTCAGGAGGATAATTCTCGATCACAACATAATGAAGCAGGCGAAGAATTTTCATGCAGAAAATGATCCCGATCAAGTCCAGACATCAACCCGATCGAAAATATGTGGGCTGATGTCAAGAAAAGCATCTGTGAAAGGAAAAAAATGCCGTCTAACATTGCTTGAACTAGAGCGGCGTATTAAGAAGTCATGGAGATAAATTTCCATACATACTATCAAAATATTTGGTCGATAGTATGTCACAATGAATTCAGGCTGTAATTGAAGAAATGGAGGCCTGACCAAGTACTAATTAATTAGTACGCAATTTATTTTATATGTCATTTTTAATAATTATTTAATAATTTTTTTTATTAAATTTTAAAAATTTTAAATGATTTATTATGCCAAAAAGCGTTTGGAGACTTTTGGCGACCTCTGTATATGAACTAGTCTAGTAATAATTGAAGATAAAGCAAATATTTATTACAAAACATTATATACAAATATTTGTATTCATCCTTCTTGAAGCTAGTCTATCCTCACCACGTCTACAGAAATCGGAAAATTTAAACCTAATAAAATTTATCAAGTTGATTGAAGTTAATCTATACTAACTAATGCCATTAGTTTTAAACCAAAAAAAATCCAATTGCTTATTTTTAGGGTTAGACCGGTCTGAAAAGACCGGTCTTTCATCTTCCTTCAGTACTAAGACCGGTCTTGTACCATTCAGTCTTACCAATCCAGTCTGGTCTAGGGTTTGTTTCCTTTTTGAATCAAACCAATTTATAAGACTGCTTCAAGAATCAGTTTAGAACAATTAGAAAAAATATTCAACTGATATATAAATATTTAATGATTAATTTAATAAATAATAATAATAATTACATACAAATGATTACTGCGCCTTCTTAATCTTGTTATTTCTTCATTTCTGATATTTTCATTTTAGATATTATCATTACAGTAAAATATAGGACAGATCCAAGGTATAAACTGGATTGATCTAACTCTTATTTTATGAATAAAACTATTTATTTAGTATTTTATAAAATAATTCCTCAATTTATACTATATATAATAAAGGATCAGTCTGAACTGAACCTAAGAATAAGTACAAAGTGCTGCAAAGACTGGTTCTATTAACTGGTCTAAGACTAGTCTTATCAGGATCGATCTATCCCTACTTATTTTATTTTATTATAGAGAGTAAAAAATATTTGAATCCCTATAAAAAAATAAATATCCAGAAAATATCATCAAAATTATTCTAAATCTATTCAGGTATATCAGAAAATGTCTGAAAAATAACTATTATTTGTCCTAAAAAATGATCAAGCTTGCTGTTCAGACTTATTCAAACATTTAGAAACATTCAGAATATATACAAAAAGAAATTTAATCTTTTTTTCTAATACAGAATATGTTTAGAATTTGTATTAAAATTATTTGTCTATTTTTATAATACAGAAAATGTCTGGATTATATATTAAAATTTATATCTGAAATATGTATTCCCTATAAAAAAAAATGTTCAGAAAATGTCAATGAAAATATTTAGAATTTATTCAGAATAAGTATATTCTTTTTAATACAAAAAATTTTCAGACTGATTTTAAATCTAGTCCTTTCTAATTTTAGTTAATATATATTTTTATTTATATTACATAAATAAACGATCTACAATTATATTATTCACGTATTTTTTATTTTTTTTTTATAATAAAAAAACTTTTATTTTATTTAATATAATCTTTAAAAAAAATTAGTTTTTTAAACTTAAATATTTGAACTTATAAACTCTTATTAAATGTACTTTTTTTTGATAAATTTTAATTTTTTTATCTTTTTTATAAATATTAATACAGAGATTTCATAACAAAATTTGAGCATTTTGATCAAAGTCAATTATCTTTCATCTCTAAGTGAAAGTTATTCAAAAGGTTCAATACTATTTATATCTAATTTTTATATTGACTGGATTAATATTTGTATAGAAATAATTTTTTTTGTATCTTTACTAAATAAGTTACACTTTTTAACTTCATAAGAAAATTTAAGCACTTTGGTTAAAGTTAATCAATCATCTTTCACTTCTAAGTGAAAGTTGATCAGCAGGTTCAATACTATTTGTATATAAATTTAATCTTGATTGGATTAATATTCATGTTGTAATATATATTTTTGTAACTTTATTAATAGCGCAGACCTTTTTTTTTTAAATTCACAGGATAATTTGTACACTTTGGTCAAAGTAAATCACCTTTTATCTCTAAGTAAAAGTTGATAAATAGGTTTGATACTATTTGCATATAAAATCTAATTTTGATTGGATTAATATTCATGTTGTAATATGAGTTTTTGTAACTTTATTAATAGCGCGAACCTTTTTTTAACTTCACAGGATAAATAGATCACTTTGGTTAAAGTAAACTGCTTACTGCGTATTAAGTAAAAATATTTTATTTATCTGAAATTAATTACGTATAAATTTTTATCTTAATTTTTTTAATATTCGTTGAGTAAAAGCTTTTCGTAACTGTATTAATTCTCAAATTTTTTTTTGTTTTTTTTGAATATTTATTTGTGTAATTTATTAATACTATATCAATATAATTATATATCACAAAATTACTACACTTTATAAAAAAAAAAAAGTATCAAATAAAAGTATTTAAAAGTTATTACTTTGTTTTGTTATAATTAATTTTTTTTTGAATAAATTTAAAAAATTTTTT